TATACTAATAATATTTATAGCAATATTATGCACAAAATGATGTATTATACATCTGATATATGTTATGTAATTATTTACTGTTTTATGAATTTTATATGATATGAAGATAGTTAAAATATTTTCACTTTTATGTGGAATTTATTAATTTAATTTCTATTTATATGTAGTCATGTTTAATAAGAGTTAGTTTATTAATTGATTTTATTATAAGTAGTTGCATGAAATGAAAAAATAGTTTATACTTTTTTGGAGTATATCAAAATGTCAGATTATAATTCATATATATGCATAAATTATATTATTCAAAGCAATAATAATTTTAAAGAATATTACTATTATTTTAAATAATTTTATATTTTAATTAAATACATTTAATTAATCAAATATAAAATAATAATAATTAATAACAATAATAATTATTATTTCTAATTTTTATTGAATTATAATTACAAAACTTTTTATAGTATATTTTTTTAATATTATTTTTAATTCAGAAAATAAAGCAAAAGATTAAAATTCATACCTTTTTGTTTTACTTTCAATTATAGAATTTAAATATTGCCTAACAATCAATTCATAAGTGGTCAATCTATGAAATATATTTTAATATTATTTACATCTCTGTAAACTGGAAAAAAAATAAATAACATTAATTGTTTCCTATTGTTTCAATTTTTATTTTGAAATTTTTAAAATACTTTTAAAATTTATTAAAAAGATTGTATGCTATTAATTAAAAATAAAAGAGAAAATTAAATTGTACCAAATGATTGCAAAAAATTAATTAGTGCATTTATTGTAAACGAAGCAAGTTATATTCTTACAACATATCTAGATCCCAAAATTAATAAAATTTTTATATTTTATTTTGTTGAAAAAACTTAAATTGTTTCATTTTTAAATTAATAAGATATTTCATTTTAAAGTATAAATATTTTAGTTTTAAAATTAACAATATTTTACATTTTTTATTATGATTCTTTTCATTTTTTTTAATATATATATAATATATTTCTCCATTAAAAACTTCTATTTTACAACCACCAACAAACAGAAAATTTCAAATTAATAACACATTAACTCGTATATTTAGTAAATGAATATTTAAAAAGAACTATTTTACTTGCTTCTAATCTGGTAAAATATAAGAGTGTTTCAAATTAGGGTCACACTAAATAAAATAATGGTATGCACTCTTATGACGTAGTAGGTCTCTAGTCAATTGATTGCACTTATAATAAATTAGATTAATGCACCCTAACCTTAAGTTCATTTGCATTATTGAACAATGTTTTGTTTTAGGTTAAAAACAAAAAGGTATATATTTTCATATTTTTAAATTTATCAAATTAATTGTATAAATGATCTTTAAATCCATTAAACATATAAAAAGAATTTTCTTTAATTGCATTTATTAATGTCAATTTATTTAAAATCACATAAAATTATTAAGGTTTGCATTTTCAATTAAATATAATTTAATTCTAATATTATTTATATTTTAATTTGAACATTTTATACTGACAATAATTGCTAAAGGATAAAGGATATTTTTAGTTAAAGTTATATTCCTATCATGCATATTTCACTATAATTAGCTTAAATATGATGTTATAAAAATAACTGTTTGTTACATATTAATTTTCATAAAAGCCTATGCTAAATGACCTTTCTATTTTAAATTATAAATTTTAAATTATGATAAATTATACATATTAATATTATTGTAATATGTATTTTTAATTGCATTTCATTAATTTTTTACATTTATTAAATTTATTAATATTTTGATTTTTCTTTAAGTGAAAGATAATTTATGTTGATAAATTTTATTAACTATAGTCTTTGGTGCTATTTTTTTATTATTTAAATTTTAAAATATTTTATTCAAGAAGAAAATTTAATTGAATTTTTATTATGATAAAATTTAAATTTAATGTTACGAATCAGAAAGTCATAATTAATCAAATTGATATATCTTTATTGACTTATTAGGTTAGTTATGCCATCTTATTTTGTAGCTGAATTTGAAAATCTTTTACTGCAGTTTTAAAAGAACATATTAAAATTACCTTAAAATTTAAATTTATCTCAAATTTAATATATTTTTTTTATTAAATATGTTAAGCTATTACAATAGATTTGAAATTTATTACGTTTTTATCAATGAAAAATTGATAATTATAACAATGGTAACAAATTAAATAAAATGATTTAAACTATTTATTTAATAAAAATTTTAAACTAAATAGTTAAATTAATTCTGAAAAAAATTATAAATTGTTGATTATATTAAAAATATTTAAATGAATAATTTATAGAACAGAATATATATATTTTTTATACATGTAATATGAATAATAATGTATAAAAATTTGTTTTGTGTGAGTTTTATATACTTTTACATAAGAATTGTTTTCAATATAAATATTTCAGAAAAAAAAAATTGAATTTATAAAAATAAATATACATTTACTAAATAAAACAATATGATAATAAAGAAAATGGAAAATGTTTATATTCCTATTTTATACGGTAATAAAATAAAGCGCTTTTAAAGCAGTGAAATTAAGTATAGTAGGTTACTTTTTATAAACTTTTCGATAGATCAAAAATATGCTTTCAGAAGCTTATGAGTTTTTATCTAAAACTTCAATAATTGTCTAAAAATTATGCTTTTTTCTGAATTATTTATGAATTTCCTTATGAAAATTATGTTTATTATTATCAATTTATGATGAAAACATTTAATAAACATTTATAAAAATATGATAAAAACATTTCTTCATATTTTTATATTTTAATCTTTCATTGTAGTGCACAATTTGAATATTTTTAACTAGTTGAATGCTTTCAAAATAATTTTAAAATAGAAATACATAATTTGATTTATGAATATTATGTTATTATTTTAATTTACTAACTGATACAATTTTATATTAAGGACAATATTGAAATGAATTCTGGTAAAAATGTAAAATTTTTCAGCATTGCATGAAACTAGAAAAGGCAAACAATAATTTTCTATTATAACTAATTCATCATATTGAAATATTATTATGTAACATTAACAAAAGGTTCTGAGAAAGAAAATAAACAACTATGAAATGAAGCTACTAACAATTTCAGTTTTATTCATGCAAGAAGATAAAATGTATTAAGTCGATCGGGATAATTATTTTTAATCCTCATTATTTTCTAAGTGGTTAGATAAATTGTCATAATTAACTCAGATAGATTTTAAGTATTAATCCAATGAAAACGTTTAAATTTAAATAAAAGATAACGAAGATAATATACCATAACTAATTGTCTCGGAAAAAAAAGATATTTATTTTTAATAATAATTATAAATTTTCATCATACAATTTAACAATTTTTTTTATAAATGTTTACTTTAAAACTATTTTTAAAATAAACACAATTTTTTCCTTCAACTTTAATTGCAAAAAATTCAATTATAAAAATAGAAACAAGTCTTTCAACTTTTTCTTTATAAAAGATTAAAAGTAAAATATATTTTTGTTTTGAATAATATTCTTATATTGAGAATCAAATTTCTGAAAGATATAAAATACAATAGATCCAATCAATATAAGTCGGTTAATAGCATCATCTTTATTGATGAATTATTTATATAAACAACAATCTCTTATTTCATAATAACATGAAGCAAATATTTTCTTATTTCCTTAAATATAAATTCTAATCAGGAAATAGCAATTCTTTGCACCTTCCGTACAGGAGTTAGATATTATAAAACAGTCTATAACTTCGAAATCCAGCAGGGCTTTATGGATTTTCCAAATAATCCTTACATATTGACAAGATCGATATTATGCAACTTTCATCCGTTAATAAAGATTAAAAATTTAAATTAATTTATACATTCGCATTTTCTGATAAACTATAACATAATGAAAATATGTAAAATCTATTTATAACTTTTACTACATTTATGTATTTATTATTCGAGTATAGGAATTTAAACAGAATATTCGTTTCAAATTAACTAAAGATAAATAATTAAAAGAATTAATTAACATGACAATTGCAATTTATTGGTGGATGAACACTGTGAACTGAAAATGATTTTATGATAGAACAATTAACTCTGTTGATGGAATAGTCTCTTTGTTATTGAAGGAAAGTGTATATATTATTCAGTAGTTTAAAGACAGGTGCATCGAAATCTTTTCAATTTAGGAACTAAATATTTAATTTTCTTTACAATGCAGCTAATGGTGACACAATATGATGAAATTTATTCGAAATTCCTCATCGAAAAATTTTTAAATAAATTTATGACAAAGGAATGCAGTTATTTCTTTCATGTGGTATGACGTCACAATGCAGTTAGACTTTATTACCTCTCTTGTTGTAAATGATGTACAAGAGTATGTTAATTGTTCACTTACAGCACTTGGCACTCGACTACATTGTTCACTAGAGACTGGTTGTTGTAATTTTTTGAAATGTGTAAATCTCTTTTAAAAGAAATAAAATTTTCCTTTATTATTAACTGTAGCTATATTTCAAATAAAAAAATTAGCGTTATTACAAGACATTTTTCAAAAATTAGTAAATAATGATAGAGCGTCCGGTATCCCAACACGGCAACTCCATTTTGTTATAAATCGGTTGAACTTTGACCTTTGATCAGTACTTCAATGTGACCTGTTCGTTCCTTTACCTACATATGTACTTATATTTGTACAGAAATTTAAAAATATGAATTGTATACATTGCTAAAATGTACAATTAGCTAAGGATAAAGATTATCAGAAGATAAAATTAATTCAATGATAATAAATCATTTTAAATAACAATTATTATCATTATTTATTGTGCAAAGCAATTGTGTTATTAATATCACTTGTAAATTAATTAATTATATTAGAAATTAATTTTAATTAAGAAAATTGGATATTAGTAAATTTTATTTATTTATTTATTTTATAAATAGCAATTGGCAGATTGTAAATATTTTATTCTATTAGTGTTATTGTAGGGTGTTTCACCATCAGTTGTCGACATAGGAAAGAACTGACGTATATATTCCACGTGTAAAGATACGAGAAGGTTGGATCGATAATATATATTGTGCGCAAGTCTGGCCAGCAAGCAGTTCTCAGACTGTGACCAACAGCTCCATGGCGAACCAACTGGTATTTGGTTCAACTGTATCATCCCTATTCCTCTACATTACCAACATAGGTAAGTTCACTGTTCATCTTTACATCCGTAAAATAAATATTAATTAAATATCATATTTAAAACAAATATTTCATTAAATAAAATAGATTTTATGTATAAAAATCACTGCATGTACTTGGTCTGTGAGATATTTCTGACGAGGTTACATTTCTTTTGGCAATAAAATAAAATGGATTATGATGATTCGGTTAAAGTCCTATTCTGTACAGACGCATCCATTTCCCATCATGCATCAGTGCTATATGTGTGTGCAGGAGTGTGTCACTAGGTCACAGTCACCCACGACATTTGTTCTATAAGTGCATTGTCCCTGGTTAATGTCGAAAATCCCATCTGATTTCATGTATCGTAATTTCGGAACATAAAATCTTCTTTAGTACAAAGGCTTTTGCAGAAATGCATCCTGTTAAAACCTAGTCAAAAATTATATGTAGGTATATTATATTATTTATATGATTGTAAGCCTAATGGATGCGATATGCAGGCAGAAAGATTCCGAACGCTTCGATCTGTTTTTCATAAAACGGTTTTTCTGCACGTTTGTTTATTTATTTTTGAAAATGATAGAAATTGTATTAATTTCGTGCAAACATTTGACTATTTTTGGTATAAAATTTTTGAAGTTTCGCATACGAACGATTTTTTAATATTGAAAAGATAGTGTTGCTGCTATCTTTTCCTGTGATCTAGTTAGCAGAGTTCAATATTTACACTCCTCTTTTGCTAAGGTGTTACGGTTGATTTAAAGTAGTATAGTGAAGAAACTTGTCAGTTTACAACATTTCCTTTTACTCTTGGCTGAATAGAAGCACATACGCTTAATATATCGACAATATAGGTAGGCTATTATTTACGTCGTTTTATTATAATTTCGTCGAAGTAATAAAACCATCACTGGAAAATGTGAAAGGTGTTTTGACGTGATATATAAAAGACACAATCTGGTTAAAGATGACTTCTTCATATTTGCATAATCGCAGCTTCAGGAATCAGCAGGTGATTTTCTTTATTATATTTTTCGCAGCATGTGTAATTTAATTAAATGGTTATTGTATAATTTACTTCATTTTATTACTATTAATAATAGTTTTATATTATATATATATAATAAATAATAAATAATCGTTATAAAAATAAGACATTCTTATTTGTTCTCTAAATTTATTTTTCTTTAAAAGAAATTCAAAGCAAATATTGGAATTCAAAGAAAAAGTTTATGTTCCATTATTTGCTGAAGATTATAGATAGAAATTTCACGGTGTTTTAAAAAAATATTATTTATTTTTATATGTAATAATAAGCAGTTTTATTTTAAAATATTATAGAATGCTAAGTTAATTTATAATGTTTTACACTGAAAAGTGTTAATTTAGATATTAGTGTTATGCAGTGTTTAAAAAAATTATAAAATTTTAAATTTTGATACATAAATTTATATAATAATGATATATATAACGAAAATAGCTAATTATTATTTATATTCGAGATAATTAAAATTTTTATTCTTGATAAAGACCTATCACATACAGTGTTTTGTAAATATTAAAGAAGTAATGCCAGACATAGTCTTGAATAAATTTGTGAGATAAGTGTAATTTATGCAGGTATATTAAAATTACTTTTATTTAGGTCTCATAAGAAAATAAATAATTCATAAAATAAGAAAGCTTGTAGCTTATAATACTTTGTTTTAAATTTCATTCCTTATATTGAAATCAAGCATTATTTATTGGACATTTTGGATTGGTCAGTTTTTTAAAATAATTAAAACTAACCTAACCTAACTTTGCACAAATTACTAAAATAGTACCTTGGAAACATATTTGATTTCTATTTTTCTAAATTAATATTTAGAATATTAATATTAAAATACAATAAACATAATCAACATTTTTATTATTTATTTATTAATATTAAAAAAAGGTTTATAAATATTTATGTAAATAATATATAAATTTTGCAAATATCATTCGAATTAAGCATTTCTTTTCTATAAATAATAAAAATTAAATAAACTTAATATAAGACGACATAAGAATTTATTAAAAATAAATTAAGTAACAAACATAATCAAAAATTGACTTTTTAATTACTTATTTAATTCTTTTTATATTAGTTATTTGTATATATAATTTACATACAAGAATATTATATAAATAATTATTATTTTTTTCTTATTTTAAAGATTAATTACAATATTTCTTTTCATTCACTCAAAAATTTTATACATTTTCAATAAATGCAAAAAAAAAAAAAAAAAAAA